TTCTGATCCTGTGTCGGCGTTTGAGCCTCGGCAAAGATAACCTGAGTCAGGAGCTGAGCCTACTGAGACACTTGCCCTCGGAGTCTTCGGTCGGTCAGTGGCAGTAGCAAAGAGGGATTGAAGGTTGTAATGAGGTTTACAGCAAAATATGCAGTCAGCAGGAATTGGCGAAGAGCTTGGTATTGAGCTTACCTAAGTTTGCATTTGGAGTCAGTACAAATTTAAATGGCAAACCGCCAGAGATCGAATAGCAAGACAGGGGTGATCCAATTTAACTTTAGAAGAAAGGATGATCCTATCTTTCACCATGACCCATATCTGCCTTGTTAACAGAGGGTAGCTCGCAACAGCTTTCGAGCAAAGTGATTGAAAAGTCTCAACGGTACTTGATGGACTCTCGAAAATGGTGAGAAGATAAGGCTTTTCGCGCTACTTGGAAGGCCAAACCTGGAAAATTTGGGTTGCTCAAATGGCATTGGCGATACTTTTATATTCTCATTTACATTTATCTGGACTGAGGATACCATGAACCACTGTGACTACCAGCCGAAATAATATATTCGTTGAAAAATTCAGGAGACGGTATTCAAAGGGCTATGACACAGCAGAAGGTAAAAGTACAAAGAGCGGCTCATCTCTGAGGCAATGCAGAATTGACTACAGATTCGATGACAGCATTAGCGCAATAATAATTGTCTGAAATAAGACTAAAGACTAAGAAGTTTTTGAAGCTATATTAAGAATCATCGTAAAACAATATATGTCGACCACAAAAAGAATGCCATATTTGATATGCTACTAGTAGTTAAGTTCATTCCTTCCGCTGCAGTGATTTTCTATATTGTACATCGGTGGTTAATTCCCTTCTCCGTTTATCTCCGGTCATTACGTGTCCTGTCTTAACAGTCTACACATCCAGATCATTGACACCGCTTATTTTAGTTGCTGGAAAAAGCAGTAAGGGAATACATCGAACAGGGATTATTATTACGAAATTCGATCTGCCTGAAGAAACTAATATTTCACTCCTCGGTCGTATACTAAGATAAAACGAAAAGTGGTTATTCAAAATTATTTACAATGTGTCATGCTGATGCTGGAGCCCAACGACAACTAAGACAGCATCCTAGACGGTGACTCCAACAGTTCGATAAACTGCAAGTCGAGCATGGTATAAAGATTTGCATACAGTAATATCGGACATTGCACAGGACAGAATGTAATGACAAAAGCTAATAATAAGTGCGGGAATGTCGTTAGCCTTTGGGACATCCAGCGATTCAAATCAAGTCAGGCGTACTGGTGAATTACAGGCGTAAAGCATGTAGCGTCAGTGGTTACCGAGCAAGGTGACTGTTTCAGCGGTGATAACAAACGACCTGAACGCATGTGTATTGCACAATAGAGAACACATAACTTATAGAAAAACCGGCATAACACTGATCATCTAAAGTTTGCTGGCTCTTTAATGCAAGATAACTTATAGTTTTCTGCAATGGTCGGTCACAGCGAATCGGAATTCATTTCTCTGTAGTCGTTCTAACCGTAATCAGTCAGGGTACTTGGAATGAGCGCTATCCAGACAAAGGAGACCTCATGTTAAAGCACTTTGCGGCATTTCCTATATCTTATTCCTCATACGCACTCACTCTTAAGAGGGAAACATTCCCGCATAAACGCACATATGTATAACCTTAAACAAATTTGCTAAAATTTGATTATCTCTTGAAAGAAAGCGACCAAAGTGAGAGAAAAACAGCTTTCTCGTGATTGGGTCAGCATTTTGAACTATTTAAAACAACAGTTGCAAAAAGAATGTATAAAAACCAACTGAAAAAACTAGAAAATTAATAACAAACAAAATAAATTAATTAAAACGATTCTAAAACTGAGGAGTCTCCTGAAGCTCTTTCTGAAGCCATGACGGCGTATCGTAGCCTAACCGATACAAAAGTTGTTGCAAAGCAATGTTGTGTGGTCGGAAATAATCCAGCAAATAATCGTACGCCTCTTTAGAAATTTCTGAGTACGCCCGTCCTTTGCTTCTTCCCAGACACTGCGTCTTGTTAGTTTCGGTTTTAACGCAAAAGAAACCTTTACGTTTGCTAAACCTGAAAGACATGTGTGCAAACATACGACAAACTCAGACGTAATACACGCACGTCAATTTCTTTCCGTAATCCAGAGGAGGCTTCAGCTCTAAAAAGTCTTGAACGACAGACATTACTTTTGCCGGTGTTTCCACCAGAACTGCACCGTCAATTAAAAGAATCTGAAAAAAGAAAAATAGAGGAAACGGAATTGAACGAAACAGTAAACCTGTTTCGCTGGAAAGACACTCAACCATCGTTCGATATGATGAGCATAATGACCAGGAGTCAGACAGTGTTGTCTAAGCCTCCATAATTCTTTAGACCCGTTCATCTGACTATGAAGAACTTGGATGAAATCGTTAGCTAACGCAACTGGGTCATTTCGAGCGCGTAAATGCTAAAAATGAGCAATCAGTCATTATACCGATGTAAACATAGCTAACAAAAATACCTGATACCAGGAGTATGCTCTTTTAATTGGGCTGATCAAAATTGAGATGATCTTCGCATCAGGAATCAAAGCTTGAACTCGACGAGGAGCTGCTTCACAATCAAAATACGTAGCACTTTTGTCGAAAACAATCTCTTCCTTTGCTTCGTGTTCAGGGAAAAAACGGGCGTACCTAAAGTCGAACACAGCTTTAACGCACATCTACATCCAACGGTTTCAGAAATTTGGTTACAGATTTGTATCAAAATAAGTACAGAAATTACTGGAACTGACAGATAGCATGAAATCATACGCGCAAAAATAAAATTTAGGAATAGCACGACAGTCAGCTAAAAACAAACCCTAAACTCACAGTGTAAAACAGGCAACGGTAAGAAACGGATCGTTCTGAAGTACAGGTACGGAGAAATGGATTATCTCTATATGTTATGAAGCTTCCCATCAGCCCAACGAGGCATTTGTAAATATTTGCTGAAAGCATATCTGTTCATAAGAAGGGTACAATACATTGGTTACAAATCAGCTGGACTATGGATTACTACCGTACTCATCTATAAACAGATAACGATGAAGCATCATGCTGTCTAGCCTCTACGGAAAAAGAAACATTTAAATGTCAGTAAGAAGAATGGGCAAAATACGAAGTATAACCATATGGCATACATCTCCTCAGTGTTACTGTGACGCGAGGAGACGTTTTACACAACTCAGTGACTTTAAAGGGAACGGTGCAGTGAAACTTTGTTCTTAGTATAGGCTTCGTTGCCAGAATGACAAAGGAAACGATCACACAGAACTTTTTTGCATAATATCGTACCATAGTTAGGTTAATTAAAATGAACATACCGTACCATTCTTTGCTCAGGTGGAGAAAAATTTGCTCAAGAATTAGGCAACGTTCGTTTAAAACTTTGCTACAGTATTTCTACATAATCGATTCTTGGAAAGCAGCGATACAACAGATAAAGCTACATGGAGACGCTACCTATTTAAAGCAGCAAATGGAATAGAAACAACGCTGAAAGATGAATCGTGACACAGTCAACCCGGTAACTTAACATTTTGTTTAATTTAAAAAAAATTTCTGCTTACCAATCAATTCCGTTATGATAATTTTTACCATTGAAAAACTGAACTTCTTCGAAAGTTACGGGACTTTCGTAACTACCTCTGACTTTCGGATGCAATTTAAGAAACGTATACAAGGCTGTGGAACCTGTGAAACAAAATCTGAAAGAACTTACGTAATTAGAATCAGAACTACCTGTTTTTTGAGGACCAACAATCAGTGCTTCCGGAAACTTGCGACATGTTTTCTGACTTGACCAAATGGACATGTGTCGCTTGTCAAAACAAGGTTGCTGAAAAAACTCTTGTTGCGTTCACTTTACTTTGCATCATTTAGGCATCGTCTAGCATACGCTCCATAGTGGGTCCTTTTCATGCGGGTAATAGAGAAAATATTTATCAGCCATTTCGATGGGAGATATATACTCTAGGACAAGATTTGTCCACTGCTTAAGGAAGGCGATAATGTTCTCGAACGTATGTAAGGCGAGTCGATCATGTGCATAATTAGACTGGTGGGTCATGAATATCAGTATCTGAAATACAAATGAATTAGAAACAAACAATAAAATAGACAATAACAAACAATAAAAAAACAGTTACAAACAAATGACTAAATAAGAACTCGAAATACCCTTTATTGT